AACTCTTCCGGTCTCCTTATTTTCAAGGACTTCGAAGGATCCAGTCTAGGTAGACCCCGTCCTTGGAGGACACGTCCTAGGTTTTCGAACAGAGCCGCTGACCCCTCCTGCCTTCTTCTTCTTCTTCTTCTATTTTTTTTAATGGCGGTTTGCAAACAACTTATAGGTGCATTACCGCCACCTTCCAGAATGGAGTATGGATCAGACAAACTATTATATTCTTCCTAAAATAACCGTTCTTCTTAGAAAATTAAAAATACTCCCAAAAACTACATCCCCAGATGACCTTTGAAACAATTCCCTTATATCTAGTTTGTTTTTATTCCCGCCTAACTCTCTACGCAACATCTCTCCTTCCTGAGTATATTTAATACATTCTGAAAAAAATATGTTGGAAAGTTTCTAATTTCCCACAAATACAACACCCTGTATTATGCCTTTTCATTATTTTAAGAGTACTATTTAATCCTGTATGTCCGAACCTTATCCTAGATATATCTTCTTCTTTTTTAATTCTATTACATTTTCTTGATTCTCCAACCTTTTTTTGAATACTATAATAAAATCGAGCATTCCCTCCTTTATCCCACTGTTCTTGCCATTTCTTCTTGAAATACATTTTTATAATATTCTTTAACTCATTTTTACTAATGTTAATGTTTAAATCAACATCCTTTTTTACAGCACTCTTAGCAAGAGAGAATGATCCACTATGGATGATGTTTTTTTTTTCTATATGAAAATATTTTTAAATAAAGTCACTGGATTAAACCAGTGTGTAAATTCTAACTATAACTACCTTCATCTTATCTGCTCAGCGGATCACTTGATCATGCGCCGCTGTCCCAGCCTAACGGCGGTAGTTTCATCTCCTCCACCCTTCATAAAGTCCGGCTTGATGTGTGCAATTAGACTTAGACTTCTTTATTGTCATGTGCTCCTCACCTGAGCTTCCATCACCTCCATCCGGTCTCCACTTTTGTTCAGCATACCTTAATCTTATGTTTGTAATATGACTATGTAACCGAGCAAAGTGTTTTTCTATGTGCTTGCTTTATTACAAAAAAAAGTAAAATAAATATAATTCTGACTGGTAAAACAAACAACTTCACTGTATGTCAGGTTTGCAAATAAAAATTCTATTGATTCCAGTCATTGTTCAAAAATTTTAGGAAACATTTTATTTAAACATAAAATATTGCACGTTCTTAACTTTGCTTGTATGTCAAATTTTTAAAACAAGGTTATCAAATTTTTAAACAACGCTGTTACAGTATATTTACAATCACACTACAATGTAACTTTGTCTGGAATAATATTGGAACAATATTTCTATAAAAACTAAATGAATGAATGAGCTATAGCAAAAGGAACATTCAACCATCCAGCCAAGCAAAGTGAGTTTTCTTCCTGAAAACTGGGTCAGACACAATATCTTTAAAGTACTTGCAGGTCAATGCTAAGGTGAGGTAAGCTGAGTCTCCCTGTGCAAGTACCACCTCCTGGAGAACAGCTTGAAGTACACCCCAAGGCATCTGAAAAAAAAAGGAAAAAGTTGCATTGCAGGACTGTCATACCAAAAAAATGGCTATGACACATATGATTATGAATAAATCTTACCTGTAAGATTGGCGGTATCCTTTGAACCTGCATGGTGAAGAGCATTAAACAATAATTAACACTTTATATCTCTCAGTATCTTATCCTTTCCATCCCTAATCATATAAAAAAATGCTGTCCAAATAATAGCTTTGTTTTTTTTTTTTTTTACATTTAGGGTTTTAGTGTCATTTGCAGATAAAAATATACAAATCAAAATTACTAGTTATGTGTAAATTTTAAAAATTAACCTCAATTTGTGCCTCGGTTGCTTTGGCATAGTTGTGGTCATCAGCACACAGAGTCTGTAAAAATACAGATATTTTCTAAGTGAAAGACAAATGAAAGCCCAAATAACAACAAAATTGCTTCAACCCTTTCAATTGTTCAATTCAATTCAATTTTATTTATATAGCGCCAATT